ATGCATCCTCACTTCGCCGTTCCAATCATTTACTTCGCTGCTACAGTCACAGACTCACAGTTAGGTTAGTAAGACACATGAAGTAAACGTGCACGCTGCCTAAAAAGCCGCTTACTAACCGAAATAGGTGCTTAATGTGCCGCTTACTAAGCATACCACCCCCGATGTATTAATTAAGCAGCACTTTAAACTTTTTCAGTTTCAGAATTTACTCCATGCCCTTACCCTTATTGTTACCCCTTACCCGCCCTACCCTACTACCTCCATCCATCCTCGTACCTTACCCCTACTCGACCATTACTCCACCCCCACCCCACTCCGACCTCGACCCCACCCTACCCACTACCTCCATCCATCCTCGTACCTAACCCCTACTCGACCATTACCCCACCCCGGCGTGCCTTTTTCCCTACAACGACCCTACCCCACCCCCACCCCCACCTCGGCCCCACCCGATCCCGACCCCTACCCTACCTTACCCCGACCCCACCCCCACCCCAACCTAGGCCCTTACCACCTTATCCCCACCCCCACCATATCCTCTCCTACCCTCCCCACCCAACCCTAACTTACCCCGACCCTAACCCCCAAACCCTAGGCCCTTACCACTTACCCCAACCCTACCACATCGGCCCATCCATGAACCTACCCTATCCCATAGGGGTCTTACCCCAACCCCTTACCACATCGGCCCCACCCCACCCTACTCCCTAACCTTACCCCTACCTTACCCGACCCCACCCTACCTACCCGACCCCACCCCTAGGCCCCCTTACCACCCTACCACATTGGCCCTAACCCTGACCCCACCCTACCCCTACGTTAGGCCCTTACCACCCTACCCCAGTGGGCCACCCCGACCCCACCCTATCCTACCCTACCCTACCTTACCCCGACCCCACCCCCTACCCCTTACCTCTAGGACCTTTACCACCCTACCCCAACACCCTACCACTACCACATTGGCACCACCCCAACCCCACCCTACCCCTTACCCTTTACCCCCCTTACTACCCCTACCCCCTACCATGTCGGTCCCACCTCCGACCCCACCCCACGTGGGGTAGGATGGCGGTAAGGTGGGCCAAGATCTTGGTGGAGCCGAGGTAGGGGCATCTGGTAGGGGTGGTAGGGGGTGGGGTAGGGTGGTAAGGGGTGGGGTTGAGATCGGGGTGGGGCCGAGGCAGGGGCAAGTGATGTATTGAGTGGGGTTGGGTTGTGATTAGGGGTAATGGTGGGGATTATGGGTAGGGTGGGGTCGGGGCTGGGGTAAGGTAGGGTAGAAGCAGGTTGAGAGGTACTTTAAACTGCTTTTCATTTTTTTTATTACACAAAAGATACTTATTCTATCAAACACTACCAACTTTTACTTTTTTCATAATCATTTTTTCTCAAACACTACCAACTTTTACTATTAATCACTTTAAAAATATTTTTTTTTAAAGTAGAAGCAATCTCAAATACTCCCTAAGTGGGTTCACCATTAAATAAAGGGGGTGATTGCCCCTCTTTCAAGATTATTAAAGATTTTTTAGAAATTACTCTAAATAGGACTAAAACTATGACAAAAAACTCAAAATTGGACTTGCTATATTTCAATTCCAAAATAGGACCATATTAGTCCTATTCGAAACATACCTATTTTTCATTCCAATATTACCCTTCCTTTAAATATGAGTGAAAGATAGTCAAAAGTCATAATTAAATTTTCAATTCATAATAAATTCGAAAAAAATTCAAAAAATCATAGAAAAATATTTAAAAAATTTAATAAAATATTTATGAAATATTTTTTTAATTGAATAAAAAAATACTAAAACTCCATAAAACAAATTAAAAAAATATGGATGCTTTTCCCACCGCCTGTACTGCCTCCGTGCACCGCCATCTCCGACCGGTGTAAAAAATGCCATTTTTTCTAAAAACTACCATTTTCCTGAAAATGCCAAAAAATGGCATATTACTGTTTGAAAATGCCAACATTTTCATTATTTTTGCAAAAAACATGGCGTTTCTAATGCAAGTGGCATTTCCCCTGGTGATCGAAGGTGGATGTACTACCTCCTTGCACCACCACGTCCGACTAGTGTAAAAAAGATGCCATTTTCTCTAAAAATTGCTATTTTTTCCTTCTGCAAATGCAAAAAATGGCATATTACTCTTTGAGAATGTCAACATTTTCACTGTTTTCTGCCATAAATATGACATTCGTAATGAACTTGACATTTTTTCCCTGGTGACGGGAGGTGGTGGTGCTGGGGCGGCAGAGGCGGCAGTGATTTTTTTTCGTTTTTTATTTTTTTCAATTTTTTTTAATTATTACTACCTTCGTCCCTAATAAAACTTCCAAAACGGCCGAACACACAGTTTAAGATAGTGGGTATTGTGTGATGGAGAGTTGTGCAGAGGAGAGAGAAATGTGTAAGAAATGTTGTGAACCACAAATTCTTTACCAAAAAGGGAAAATGGAAGTTTTAATTGGGACTAATGAAAAATGAAAGGCTTTCAGCCTAAAAATATGGTGGAAGTGGAAAAGCGGAAGCTCTTTTTGGTGTGATTTTATTAATGCTAGATATCCTAGGAATGGAGATATGAGGGCTAAGATCACTAACTCTACAGTTTGGAGAAGAATTTGTGATATTAGTGATATTGCTACTGACCTTTGTTCTACTGATGAGGCTGGGAATTCTGTTTGGGATCCAGGTATCAATGGAACCTTCTCTTTATCATCTGCATACAATGAAATTAGAGATCACAGGTCAGTAACTTTTTCAGACACTCACATATGGAATAAGTATGAGCATATGTCTGTCAAATTATTCATGTGGAAATTGCTTCATGCCTATCTGCCCTTCCCTGATAATATGAACAGATTTCAGTTAGTTCAACAGCCAACAAGATGCCCTTTCTGCAAAAATCATAGTGAGTATGTTGACCATGTTTTCTGGGGTTGCTCCTATACAAGAAAAATTTGGGTCTACTTCATGGGAATATTTGGAATTAAGGCTCCTAGAACCTCTTCCTTTCGACAGATACTTATTTCTTGGTGGATTGAAGCTGGGTCTAAAAAACTTTCCGATTTATTTAAGCATAATATGCCAGGCATCATATGCTGGCATGTTTGCAAAGAATATTCTTCCTATATTTGGGGTTCGAGCTCTATTTCATCTCCGGAATTTCTAATATCCCAAATCAAATGCTATACTCAGAGTTGGGCTGGTAAATTGGCTAGAACGAAACCTAAACCTATGGAGGACTTCCTTTGGCAGGAACATCTGATTTCAAGGAACTTTAGGTTTAAGTCTTCTGGTTTACAAGTGATTAAGTGGAGAAGGCCTAATAAACTTTACAAGTTAAATGTAGATGCTTCATATATACCTGGCTTAGCACAAGGAGGAGCCATTTTGCGGAATCGATTTGGGGTTTTGATCTATGCGATGGTTTTCCAGGTCCAGGCCGATGGTTGTGAGGAGGCGGAACTGAAAACCTTGATTAAAGCTTCAGAAATGGTTATGGCGGATGGTTTTGTTGAAGTTCAGGTGGAAACGGATGCTATCCGGTCGATCTCTACCTTGTTTAACGATTCAGAAAACTCAGCTGATATTCAAGCGTTTAGAAGGAAAGCGATGGGTTTGGGCTATTCATTCGATCATTTTTTCCGGGAAGGAAATGGGCCGGCACATTACTTGGCGACCCATCGATATAACTGGGCCCAAAATCTGCGTTTTAATCGGGTTGATCTGCTCCCAGCTTCTGTTAAGAATGCTTACTATGCTGATCTCTTTGGTATTCCTAGCTTACGTTTTTAATTTGTTGTATTTTAATTTTGGGTCAGGTCTAGCCCCCCCCAAAATTCAATTGCTTTTTCCGCTTGTGTGTTTTTGATGTCATGTATTTTTTCGGAGGTATGCCTCTGAAGGGAGGTTTTGGTTTGGTCCCCCTCCTTTTTGTAATCTCCTTCTTAATTAATAAAACTCTAGCAAATGTTCCCCGACATTTGCCCCACTGATTTTGTTGGTTTGCCTTCCGGGTTAAAAAAAATGAAAGTTGGAAGTTTATTTAGGGACATAGGGAGTATTGTTTAATATTCTTATTAATTTTTTTTAGTATTTTTACGAATTTTTATTATTTTTTATGATTTTATTTTGAATTAAAACATTTCAATAGCAACACACATAATTAGTTCTATCAAAAAATAGTTTACTTTTTGTTCCTATTTGTACAAACTAAGAGTCCGTTTGGTAGCACGAAAATCGGTTGGTTTGGCTGATTCTGCTGAAATTTCTGAAGTTCTGGCTGAAGTGGGTGCATTGGCTGATTTTATTGAATTAAAAAAAATTATTTTTAAAATATAATTTATTAATACAATAAAGAAAAAATTATATGTAAAAATAGCTAAAATGGTCATTTACAATAACTTCAGCCAATACAGCAGAAACGTAATTCCAACCTTACTTTTTCTGCTTATTACACAATTCAGCGCGTTAAAACAAAAATTACGTGTTTGGTGAAAAAATAGGCTGATAAGCCTGGTAAGTAAAAAAAAAAGGTATTACCAGACGACACCTAAAACTTTTAATCCTATTTTGATAATTAACCAAGATTTTTACACAAAAAAGTAGGCTAAAGGGTCAAATAGGCCCTTGAACTGACTTAAAGTGTTCAATTAGCCCCTTATATAGGAGGTTCTACCCGGCCGTCGCTAATTGGGGCGATTCCCAGTGGAATTTTTTGATGAAATGTTTTGAGCATCTTCTTCATTAAGTCTAATTTACTCATACCAAATTTCAGCTAAAAACTAAACCGGGAAGGCAGTCAAATGATTTTCCGAAATGTACTGCGCTGTTTAACTTCGCAGTTATCTTCAAAAAATCATTTGACTGCCTTTCCGTTTGAATTTTTAGCTGAAATTTGGTATGAATAAACTAGACTTAATGAAGAAGATGCTCAAAAGATTCCATAAAAAATTTCCACCGGGAACTGATTGAACAATTTAAGTGAGTTCATGAGTTTATTTGACCTTTTAGCCAAAAAAGCATACATCCCTTTGCTGACAACTTTAGGGGCAATTTTACCCCTTTTCCCATATATACGTCTCGGAAGAGCGCATCTAAAACAAAATTCCCATCTAAAATGGCCGCTGGTGCAGTTTCCGGATGCATATTTTGTCAAATCGCCACCACTTCCACCTGTACCACTCTCCTCCACTCCGTCAGTAACTGCTCCCCTTTTCTTTTTGCTGTTCATATTGTCATTGCACTTTTCCATCTGCATACCTCAGTTTCAGCAGATTTATAAAGACTTTCGCAGGATGAAAATGTAGTAGCTTTTCAGGATATCAACCCTTCAGCTCTCAGGTTCTCGTTGTTTTTGTCATTCGATTCTTTATGTTGACAAGTAAATTAATTAGCGAATTTCGTTTTCAAAATGCTCCAATTTTAATTAGCGATTCATATTACCTCAATTTCGAGTCTGCTGTCGTCAGTCCTGTTGTATTATAATCAGGTTTTGTTAAGATTAATGTTTCCACGTGTGTGTTCACGATGTTCAAAATGAGCTTGCTTTCTATCAATGAGACAGGCATTACTTGGTAATTCCAAAGGAGCATATTCCTACCGTTAAAGATCTCAAGAAAAGCCATAATGACTACTCCTTGGGTAACTTTAGCTTCTTTGACAAAATTCTTTATAGTTAAGAATTTCCGTGACATTCTAATACGGAGTACTTCTTATGTTCAATCTTCTTGCAGTGAACCACATGCTAGATGTTGGAAAGAGTTTGTTATGCAGAGATGCACCTCAGAGCAAGCAATACAGGTACTATGTTTTGCTCGATATGTTCCAAATAAAAAGTTTTGTTTGGTTAATGTAAAACTTTTTAATTTCGGAAAGGTACAAATTCTTGAAGACATGGAATTTGATGGAAGTTTTCTCGCACTTAAAATAAATGTATATAGTGAAGGTTAGTACGTCTGTAGTTCTGTACGTGTCATGTATGCACATATAAAGAAAAAGAAAATTAAATGTTAAATTATATTTTAGCTGTTCTGAATGAAAGATATTAAAAATTCTTCTTTGTCAGATCGATTCATTTTCTTCTTGGGTTGAGTGAGAGTGTGGCTTTTGGAGAGATCAAAGTGTACGATGCATATTCATGTGGATGATTGAGCTTCTTTCTCTCTTTTCTCTCTCGTTTTCTTTTATCGTTTATTTTCTTTATCTTTCTATGTTCTTATGTATTTTTATCTTTTATCTTTCTTTGTCCTTTAATATTTTTATCACCTATCTTTCTTATGTTATTTTATCTTATCTTTATCTTTATCTTATCTAGTTTATCTTACTTTAACTTTTTATTCTTCTTATCTTTCTTCTCTTTTAGCTCTAAGATCATAGATCGATTCATGTTAGCCGATCCCAAAATCTTTTGGGAATAAGGCTTGAATGTTGTTGTTGTTGCTAGATCGATTAATTTATAAAAAAGCGAAAATTATGTGAAATTAAACGATCAAATGAAAAAGGGGAGAAGAGATTGGTTCTAGGGCGTATAGATTTGGGATAGTCGATCAATACTATCAATACTAGTTGCTTACCTCTCCCTTGGAGCAGAGTGCAATAACTTAAAGAACAAAACCGATCTCTGAGAGACACAACTTTACATGTGAATATAGTCCTAGCGGTTCCTGGTTTTAGACCATAACAGCTTAAATCTCTCTTTGATTATTTTACATGTGAATATAGTCCTAGCGGTTCCTGGTTTTAGACCATAACAATGAATAATTAACAACGCAGATTATATAAATATCATGTTTTCAAACTCTCAAGAACGAAACTCTAGGTCATAAGCCCCTTCACCAATCTTAAATACCTAAAGAAATTCATTTACAATAGAAACAACAATAGAATTGAAAGAGTAAAATTTACTTGTCATTAATCGAAAGAATGAATAGTTGACGATCCTCCAAAATATGTTCTTCCAAGCTATACTCTATGAAAAACACGGTTGAAGTTAATAATATGCAATTGAGGGTCGTAGCCCTCTTTGAATAATAATGAGTTAGGCCAGTTTTAGGCAAAGCATGTGCACACATGCCCCCATGCACGGCGTGCAAGAGAAATCATCAAAGGTCGTGCACGGACGCGCGCATGGCGTGCATGGCTGAATGCCCAGAAATTTATTTGCGCGTGCAGGCGCATGATCCCCCGATTGTGATTACCAAAAAACTGGAACCCCGGTAAACTGTGATTATCACTGAATTAGCATAACATGACACCGTTTAATTACTCAAGAGCGTATAAACAGATTCCAACACACATAAAATGCTTGTTGAAATACAGACTTAACAATCCTCCCACACTTAAGCGGTTGTTGCAATACAAACTTATCAATCCTCCACACTTAAGCAGTTGCTTTTCCTCCAGCACACCAAACCTTGGGTCACGAAAATCGAATCATGAAATGTTAGTATACTCAAATAGACAAGAGTGTATTCATAGGAAAAACATCTTGCCTAAATTACTACTCCTTCGGTCCTTACTAAACAACTCTTTTGTAAGTTGTAACATCTTGACAACGTTATATATGTAAACTTAAAAACTCTTTCAAGAATAAGGTAGCTCACACACATCAATCTTATACATGGTGATAAGGACCTAAGGTAGTGATGATATCAGGATGGGTAAACAGACTTGTTCTTGCAATGGTGTGGTCCTGATGCGGTTAAAAACCTGACCTGCTAAAGCAGAGAAACAAAAACCGTAGACCGTTTAAAAAAAGGTGCATTTGGTCTCATGCTGTTTTGAAGCGGTAGGGTTATGGTGTGAAAATTCAACCCGACGTCCAGAACGTGCGAAACACAAAGAGTGTTAGACCGTTAGTTTAGATGTGTTACCTAAATCACTGCACCCCCACGAACTTCATTCCGGAATGGACGATCTGGATCGTGGTAAGATTGCGTGCCGGTGGTTGCTGGTTCGCGATATGGGAACAACGGTCAGAGTTCGCAGGTCGCGCAATTTTTGTTTGTGGTTCGCAGAATCCCTCCAGCGAAATGCGAACGGACTGTCCAAACAACGCAGGCTTCCAAACGACTTCTTCCACCAAGCCAAACAACAGTCGGCGACTTGAAGTTCCCAAACGACGCACTGCTTCGACTCTTCCAAACCACTTTTGTTTTGCCCAAGTCTGAATGGGGCCAGTACCTACAGTCCGCAACTTTTATTCTTCCAAACTCAAAATTCCAGACTCCTGTTTAATGTTATATTGAAGTTAATTGTTTAATACAATATTTATTATATTTATACTTGGTAAAATGTATATTTATATGGTACACTGTACCATAATAAATGGTACAACGCACCAAAGAAGCCTATCCCCCGTGTATCGGTTTCTAATATTAGCGATCCGCGTTCCTGTTTTCGTACCGCATACCGAAGCGTACTGCGATCCATGTGACTATTGTACTACTTTGGATTATGGTGTTATTAAAGTGATTAGATACATCTAATTTTTTTGCTATTGAACAATTGGTAATCATGCTATGTGTTTTTTAGAAGAAAAAAAGATTTTGTGTCATACGATTTACACACTGTCATAATTATAGTCTAGACTCTTAAGTGCTTTGCTTCACATAATCAAGAAATTGTATGCATAATCATACACTGACACACATAGAGGAATGCTCAGGTATGGCTGACCCATTTTTTTATCAGGGCCGTCAGGATGAACTACCAGTTAACATTCATCCAAGATTTGACGGCCCACAGTACCACAAGAAGCCAGGAAGGTACCATTCAATAGGGATTTAATCACAATTGTTAGATTCAAGATCAAACCGCCATGAGCAATTGTCTGCACTGAAATTTGCGTGTCTTTACTTTATAATTATAAAAAAGTTCCTATTTAATACCTGCACGAAATTCTCTGTGCACATATACGATGCCTATTAAAATAGACATTCACTTGGGTTTATTGTTTAGTTCAGACCTCAAGTTGATGGCAGTTAAATGAGGTTAACACCGTGGTATGATCTTGGTCACAAACATAGTGGTGCAGTCTCTTTTCCCAGCTGGGTCTGCTGTCTGATTTAGAACTTGGTCTGCTCTGGACCTGTGATTTTTTTGTCAGATTTGGATTTCATCAGCCTCCTCTGAACAGTGTTAACCACCTTCATCTCCATTGCTTAGCACTTCCTTATGTTCCCAGGTGAGTTCCTCTTCTCACTACCTTAAACTATTTGAGGTAAACATCATGGTGCCCACATCCTGCCAATGATATCGTAATATATATCAATCTTGTTGTAACGAGACATCGAGCATGAGAACTAATAGAACTCATCGCCATATCATAATATTTTCGAGGTAAATGCGAAAAACAACATATTGTGAATAGAGTTGGGCTCTCAGTGGGTCTGATGAAGGGTTAGTCAAGGTCTAATAGAAAACTCATCATCATCATCATCACCCCAATGCCGCAAAGGCTCCCACCTATGGTGGACTAAGGGGGTCGGATGTACGCAGTCTTACACTCTTGACCCTGTACTAAAGCACAGAGAGACTGTTTTTGGATGACCTATAGTGAAAATCGCGTAAAAAATTGCATGGACTGACGGTTGTTTCATAATAAAGAAGCGCAAACAGTTTAGTGAGCCATTTTGTTTTATTCCATCATATTCCCAAGCCAAAAAATAGTGAGTCTTTGGCTGCATTGCAAATGATGGAAAAGGTCTAATAGAAAACTGAAACAGAAAAAAAGAAGTGAAATTTTGAAGGATGATAAATGAAAATAATAAGAAATCAGTGTTGTGAAAAGAGTTAGGTGGTCGTTGGGGTGTAATGCATGCATGGTTAGGGTTTAATCGGGGTGAGTCAAGCTCCAAGTAAAATTAATGACTTACGGGATCTAAGCAGGTATAGTTCCTAGGCAGCAGGAAACTTACAATAATAGAAATAACCTTTGATGGGGCCATTCTTTTTTACTTGGGGAAAGGACGTTCAGCTCAAACCTTTGGCAAGTGTTTTATTTATGGCTAAAGGGTCAAATAGGCCCCTGTACCTGGTCAGAATGCTCAATTCGCACCCTACACTCAAAAAAGCTTCAATTCATCCCCTGAACTCGCCAAAAAGTTCAAATCCCGTTTTTTGCAGGTAAAATTCCGGTCATCGCCACGTCATCCGGTTAGATGCCAACCGTGCATCCCACGTGGAAATCTAAGGGTCAAATTAAACCCTGGACCCGATAAATTTGTTCAATTTACCCTCTCAATTGTTAAAAAGTGTTCAAATTGACATTAAAAATAAAAAATAAAAAAATAGAAAATAAAAATAAAAATAACATACAAGTTCATAATATAAAATATAGAAGTCTATTTATAATATGACAATAAATTATTTAAATTTTAGGGTAAATTAAATACATAAAAAAATATAAGGGAAATAATACGCAAAATACAAAATTTAATGTTAATTTGTAAAAACATGTATGGTTGATTTTTTGAAATGGATTTAAAATATCATTTTTTTTAATGAATTTGTTTTGTTATGTTTTGTCATATTTTTAATATGTTTTAGATTTATATGTAAAATTACACACACACACATGCATATATACTTCGTATCATTTTATTCTAGAATTATATATGTATTGTACTTCATACTAATTATACACAACATAAAAAATTTATACTATATAAAAATTATAATATGTAAATAGCTACGGAGTACTACATTTTGATATTATGTATTTAAAAATAAGTTACCTTCATTATGTTTATATATATATATATATATATATATATATATGTTTAATTTACCCTAAAATATACGGAGTAAAAAAAATCTTATTATATTTTAAATAGACATTTATATTTTATATTATGAACTTGTATATCATTTATATTTTTATTATATATTTTTTAGTTTCATATTTTTTTAATAGTAATCTGGACACTTTTTAACGGTTGAGGGGGTAAATTGAACAACTTTATTGGGTTCAGGGGTCTATTTGACCCCTTAGATTTCCACGTGGGATGCACGGTTGGCATCTAAGTGGCTGACGTGGCGATGACCGGAACTTTATCTGAAAAAAATGGGAATTGAACTTTTGTGGTGAGTTCAGGGGGTGAATTGGAGCTTTTTTTTAGTTCAGGGTGCGAATTGAGCATTCCGAACAGGTACAGTCCGCCTGAGCGAATTGACCCTTTAGCCTTTATTTATTTATTTATTTATTTATTTATTTATTTATTTGAATTTGCAGTGGTTAGGCTGTTAGCTAGTTGGCTGCTCCAGTCCGCCTGAGCTAATTTTACTGGCCGGGCTAGGGGTAGAAGGGCACCCAGCCAGAGCCTCCTCAATTTCGGCAAATAGCTTATAATTCTAAGTGAAACCTTTTTATTTTGTTTTACGTGAATGGTTTGTTTTCTGAGTTGGATGAGAGTAGGGGGTGGGCACCGGTCGGGACGATTCAGGATTCGGATTATCCCGGTCCCAACCCAATTAGTAATAATTGTACGAGACGGTACATGACAAGCCTTTGTCCTAGTCTTGTCCCATTTAAATTGGGACCGGCTGAATTAGAACGGTTCGGGATGTTCTAAACTGATAAAAGAGTATTTTACAAAAAATCATTATTTGTAATTATAATATATTAGCATTTCTAAAGTATCATGCACCAAAATATTAGCATTTTAAAAATCAATTGATGTTTGGTTAAAAAAAATCAATTGATGTTCATCGCAAGCTATTTACAAAAACCTACAAGCTATTAGATTTTAATTAGGCCTAACAAAAATTGAAAGTAAAATATAAAACAAAGCAAAAATGATTTAATTTATTCAAAATTATGTGTTCTAGTTGTGAGATACTCATATGCAAATATATAGTGAGATAAAAAAACCTATGTTAGTAAATAGAAAGAATGCCAAAAGTGAGACTCCCAACTTATTGAAAGACAAATATAAGACTAATTTCAGTTTGGCCAATAAAGTGACCGAAAGTGATTTAAATTGACTTCAATACCCTGGAGCCTAAACTATCCTTCCGTCTTCTCTCGTTCCCCTTGCATCTGCGATTCGTCGAGCAGACACCACAGAGGCATCAAATCGTCGCCTCACGCCAGTAACAAAGCAGAACCCAATCTTCGCTGCCACCCTGGACCTCGTCTCCGCGCTGTCCAATTTCTTTTTCTTCTCTTTCTGTCCGGCGACGCCTAGGTGATGACGATTCTAGATCTGCGGCAGCGGCTGGTAGTGGTAGGGTAGCGGTGGTGCGGATGTTGGGTGACAGGGGCTGGAGAGATGCGACTGGGCTAGGGAGGAGGTGATCTGGGGCTGGGGAGGGGGCTTGCGGGATGGGGAGGTGGTTGGGTGCTAGGTTTGGGGGCTGTGATGGGGGTAAAAGAGGGTCTTTGCGTGGGCTGGGGGATGGTGCGTGGTGGTGGCAGAGGGTTGGCTGAGGTAGGGGAGGGGCTGGGTGAGAGGTAGGGGAGGGGCTGGGTGAGACAGGGGATGGGATGTGCTCGGCGGCGGCAGTTGCCGGAGGCGGTGGTCACCGGTGGTGGTCTCCGACGGTGGCTGGGGTAGTTAAGTAGCTGGGTTGGATAATTGTAACCGGATGGGCGGGCTTGGTCACGGATGGGCGGAAGTTGGTTACTGAACGAGCAGACACTGGTCACTAGATGGGCGGACGTTGGTAACTATAACATGTCAAATTAGGTAATTGTAACTGAAGAGTCGGGTAACGGTAAATAGACGAGTCGAGTATCTGTAACTGGACGGATCGTGTAACTCTAATTGGCAGGTCAGATAACTGTAACTGGCAGGTCAGATAACTGTAAATGGCGGGTCTGGTAACTGTAACTGACAGGTCGAGTAGCTGTAACTGGTCGGGCAAGTATTTGTAACTGATCGAATGGGTAATTGTAACTGATCGGATGGGGTAACTGTAAATGATCGGGCGAGTAACAATAACTCATCGGTCGAGTAATTGTAACAGGTGGAGCGAATAATTGTAACTGATCGGACGAGTAACTATAAGTCTGAGTAACTATAAGTCTGTAATTGACAACGAGTAACTGTAATTAGTAATTGTAAATCAACCGAATAATAGAGCATGAACTAATAAAAGTCATCCTTTGAGAAGATTGGAATTTGGAAATCATCCTATGATTAAAAAGTAGGGCTACGTATTTTGATTAGAAAGCAGGGCTGCGTAAAAAAAAGGGCTGCGTAAGAAGAAAGCAGGGCTGCGTAAGAAGAAAGCAGGGCTGCGTAAGAAAGCAGGGGCATATATGAGATTTTCACTCTAAATTTTTTAAAAGGACACGAAGGTCTCTTTTTTGGCTGAAATCTAAAGAGGAACTATATTTGTCCAAAGTCATTTAATTACTAATATTGATGACCTAACCCCTAGTAAATATTTATGTTAGGGGTTATTTTAAGTTATAAAATTTGGGCTTGAAAAACTAAACATACTCTACACATCATTTATTTTGAGGTTGTGCTACAAACTAGTCATGTCCCGTTCCAAACCTGTACGGGACAAAATGAACGGGTGCCAAATAGAACGGGACAACACCGGTTCGGGACTGGGATTCTTACCCGCCCCTAAATGAGAGTATGATTTTTGAGAAAGCAAAGTGGAGGATGCATATTTATGTGTAGGATTGATCTAGGCATGGCAATGGGTCGGGGCGGGGCGGGTATTGCAAGACCCGGACCCGCCCCGTGACTTGGCGGGGCGGGTCCGCCCCGCCCCGTGACCTGCACGGGTCCAAACTTGTTGACCCATGACCCGTCCCATGCGGGGCGGGGTGGGTCCGCCTCGCCGCAACTTAATTAGCTAGTTTGTATTTTTATTTGTGGGAAGTTGTTACCAATTGAATCTACATAATGCTTATCTCTAAATAATAATTAAAAATCAATATATTAAATCAAATTCATGATATGCTAAAACTTCAAAAATTAAGGAAAAATTACTCAAACTTGAATAGTTAATCTAATTAGTTATATTAATAATTGAATAAATGTATTAAAATTCTATATATAAAGAAGACATTGATAATCTGCCGTCCATCTCATTCTAATATATATTCATATATTATAAGATCAAAGAATTTATGATTTATTGTATACACACATATGTATGTTGAAGTATATTTGTAATATAAGTTAAGAAAAAGTATGTATACTTATATATTGAGCGGGTCGGGTCGGGGCGGCACGAGTCAATTCTAATACCCGGACCCGCCCCATTGTATAGGCGGGGCGGGGCGGACCCGCCCCATTTGCAAGACAGGGCGGGGCGGACCCGCCCCAAATGTTTCGGGCCAGGGTGGGTCATTGCGGGTCGGTTTTTTTTGACATCCCTAGATTGATCGTTTTTCTCTCTTTTTCTTTTATCTTTTTATCTTATTTATCTTTCTTATGTTCTTATGTTCTTTTACCTTATACTTAATTTTTATCTTTAGAGAGAAGTGTAAAATTGGTCCTCCTACTGTGTATGGAAAGTCAATTAATCCCTCGTATTTTAAGTTTCTTCAATTATGTCCTATTTCGTAAATTTCGTCAAAACTGATTTTTAAGCAGGTAACCCGTCGGTTAGCAGATCACCTCCTAATGCGGCGCACACGTGGCCTGACGTGGTGTCGACGCCACATTCCCCCCCTCTCTCTCCTCCCTCCCTCCCCCTCTCCCTCTCTCTCTCTCTATCTTTCTTTCCTTCTCTTTCCCCGTTTCCGTTTCTTCCTTGCGCTCTGCGGCTATAGATTTCCGATGAGAGTCACCAGTTTCTCCGTCGGCGACCTTGTGACAGAATCCATAACCTTCGGACATAGTAGCAGAGGTCTTCGTAAAAGCCGCCGGCTTACATGAAGGTCTTCTATTAACCTTTACAGTGCCGCCGTTCTCTGCATTCAACTGTTATTCTCTATAGTCGACCTTCGTTCTTTGAATTCATCTCGCTATTGTCTCCTCCGAAGGTCAACATTTAGGGCCTCTATTTGTCACTGATTTAGAAGCAGAGGAAGACAAAGCGGCGGATTCGTTCACCGTCGAGCCTTGAATCGAACTCCGACAATCCGGCTGAATCTTGACGAACCCGTGCTTCAATTCTTCCTTGGATGGTCACCTGCGTACCAATACGGAGCAGAAACGATTTTGGGCAAGGAAGGAACAGAGGGAAAGAGAAAGAAAGAAAAAGGCACACTTGAATCGAACTCCGGCACACTCGGTCGCCGGTCGGAATGGTCATGGCGGAGGTCGTTCAGTGGGGCTCGGGTTGGGGTGTGGTAACCGCCTTGCCGGCCGGGGTGGTTGGTTTGAGGTGGTTCAACGGAAGGGGCGGACAACGGGACAACGGCAGTGACTGTTCGGGGTAGGGGTGGTAGCGGGTCAGATTTATACCGGGTGAAGGCTCATCCGCGTCCACCCGTTAATTTTTCATATTTCACCCACCCGCCCATCATCCATTAAAAATCAGTAACGGGTGAATATAAATGGTCTAACTTGAAAGAAAAAATAAATAAATTATAAATCGAAATTATGACAATTAAAAACCAAAAATTTATAATTATTGAATGATAACAGCAAAAACTTGAACAATTAAGAATATTAAAATAATTAATTCACTGACAATAAAGAATGAAGTGATTGTCAAACAAAATAGACATTTTTTTTTCAAACTGTCAAACTCTACATTTCTAGATCGACACAAAATTATTTTTGGAGTTCAACTGTCACTTCTTGAAACTCTTCAACTGTCTTTATTTCACCAATTCATAGATTGTGTCTTATTCATTAACAAATACATATTTTTTACTCCGCAATATATTAATATTAATTATTATATATATTATTAAATAGATATATAATATAATACTACCTCCGTCCCGGAAACAAGTTCACGGGTTGACTTTCACACATTTTAAGTAAATAAAGTTACTGAGGGGTATATTTTACTATTTTGATACTGTTTGGCACTGTTTCAACACTGTTTTGCACTGTTTAACACTGTTTTGCACTTTTTTGATGGAGATAATTTGCTAAATAAGGAAATGAGAAGTTTATTTTGGTACATCCAAATAAGGAAAGTGAGAACTTGTTTTTGGGACAGAGGGAGTATAATTTATATTTATTTTTATATGCGGGTTAACGAGTGGATGGATGAAGCGGGTGATGGGTCGGGTGATGGATTGGATGGGTGTTCATCCACACAGAACTAAATCAAACAGTCAATTTTTATCGAACAACTACAATTATTTTCCTTTAAAGATATTTTCATTGACTAAAAGCTAACAATTACTAAAAAGCTCATAAAAGTATCTTTTTCAGCTAGTTGTGCCAAACATAACTTATCTTCATGATATTGGAAATTATTAGATGTATTATAAATTATGCTAATAGCGAGTAAAATGTAGTGATGCTTTTATGTGTATACATGCGAACTCAATAATGTATTTTTAGGTTTTGAAAGACCCCAGTGGATGCCCTAATTTTGTTAATATGATGACGAATAACCATCATTTCTACCACATAATGACGATATCTAAGTTTTATTTATTAAATGAAAATTGAAAATTTCTTTTATTCTATCAAGTGGTTTGATGTTTGAAGTGATTAGAACTTAAAATACGGAGTAATTTTTTTGATACTTGTGTTTTTGAAAATTGAACATT